CCGCCTCGCAAGAGCACACCCGCGACGCCCGACGACGACAACGCCGACGTCCACCAGCACCGGCGCACAGTGGATCGAGTCGATCGGAGAGGTCGGACATGAAAATCTTGACCAAAACTGCCAATTTTGATGTTTACTTCGTCATATTTTAAATTTTGAGGGGTGTTCCTGAAGGAAAATCTCACGAGAAAACCACCTTTAAGACCTCAAACGTTTGTATGAACGGAGTTACAACACTGGAAAAAAACACATTGGATCTAGAGTCCAGACTCTTAAAAACATCAACAAGAAAAAGTACTCTTGATTCAATCAGAATCTAGCTTAAATCAAGAACCAAGCCTCTTAATTTAAGCGGATTTCGTTTTGATTCAAGCAAAAATCCGATTGAATTAAGAGTATTTTTTCTTGTCAATGTTTTCAAAAGTCTGGACTCTAGATCCAATGTTTTTTTTTTCCAGTGAAGCATTTAAGTTTAAGAATTTTGTCCGATCTCCCGTATTGACTCGGTTCACTGTGCAGTGCCGGCAGCTTCAATTGAAAATTACATAAGTCGAAATTGTACGATACCCGGCGAGGAGGAGAAAAAGAAACATTAAGAACAATTAGAAAATGTCGTATAGGTAGAGGCCAGCCGAGGTCAAAAGGTCATTGATAAAATTCTCTCGCTCCTCGAGCCCGGAGTCGGGGCCCGGGGGGCCGGGGGAGGGGGCGGGGGGTCGAGGCCCCGTGGGAAATGAGCGCCATTGTTTTCAGTCTCTCGGCTTGATACGCTTCGCTACACTCTAACTATACTAACCACTCTACATTTTGCCCCCCCCCTCCCTCCGCCGCCGCCCGTGTCCATCCATTCCTGACTCCTGCCTTATTAATCGTCCTGATAACATCGGCTATAAATCCCTCCGCGTTGAACGCTGACCGCGACGCGACGCCTCGGCCCTGTGTACGTTGGCTTTTATGGAGTCGTAAAGGAATGCGGGAAAAGAAGCGAACGGTATAAGTAATAAGCAATGCACGTTGTAAATCGTCACGTTTCACGTATCAAGTTTTTTGAGTTTTCCTCTTCGTTTGTAATTATTTTGAAATTCAGCAGCCTAAATTCGACGCATTTAATCTAGACCAACCTATCCTTGTACGGTTTCTATGGAAGATAAATTTTTTTTGTTAGATATTATCGCCATGTCTGCGATTAATATATTTTAACTACTCCAGCCCCTCTTTACTTTAAGCATTTTGCCATAGCTCGCCGTTTTACTGCTTCGTGTGCATTATCCGGAGAAAGAAAAATCATCGTTCTTACAAAGCTCTTTGTGGATTCCAGGTTTTATCGTGTTTTCGGGTACAATTCTATTTTCATGGTAACAAGTAATTCCATCCCGGTAGTAACGCTTACATAACGTCCCGATAACAATATGCTGTATCGTTTGAATTGATACCGTAAAAGTAAGAATGTAACTGTAACTAGAAAAGTCGGTAAACCCTGAATCCACCATCTCCAGCAACAATTCTTTTTTTCTCAGCGCACTGCACGAAACTAAGGAGGATGGGACTGTAGTATGCATTTACGTTGAAGAATGCACCGCTGAGCAAGTTTCTGAGAATATCTGCGTTAACATCGGAAAAAGAAAGTTTTGAGTTGGATCAATTTTATTTCTTGTTGATTATTCGAATTTTACCATAAAAATACGATTCGTAGACAAGCGGAACTTGCAGATAGCCTGAGTGTTTAGTGTGGAGAACGGTAGTGTCAGCGCACTGGAAAAAAAACACATTGGATCTAGAGTCCAGACTCTTGAAAACATTGACAAGAAAAAGGACTCTTGATTCAATCAGATTTAAGCTTAAATCAAGAGGAAATCCGCTCAAATTAAGAGGCTTGGTTCTTGATTTAAGCTTAAATCTGATTGAATCAAGAGTATTTTTTCTTGTCGATGTTTTTAAGAGTCTGGACTCTAGATCCAATGTGTTTTTTTCCCAGTGCGGTTAAATTGATTTCGTTTCAAAAATGCAGTTTTGTTATTGAATCGCGGTTATTCTTGCCATTCGAACGGAGATGAGAGAAACGATTCTTTGCCACTTGTTTGTCGGTTGAAATTTAGCCGCCGGCACCGGTGGGTGGGACAGAGTCCTTGGTTGACACTGTCTGTCCGTCCTTTTGACGATGATGAATTTTAATATTCCTTTATTGTGTGCTCCGAGTGCCACTTAAAAGCAGACTGCGGCCTTGCACCTCTGACCGCCTTGCCGTGCGTCGCGCCGCGTTCCGTTGTTACACGTTGACTTGTGTATGGAAATACGACCAAGCCAAGAATCATGGAATCGCTTTCCATGATTCTCTGAGCTCCAATGTCGCCGATAATTCAATTTTCCATCGTCCAAAGAAAGGTTGAATAAATCTCTCGCAAAACGTTTTCCCCTCTCTTCCCTTCCTGACGTTTAGGCACGTCAGCTTAAGTTCGTTTTCTTTTACATTCCGATAAAGTATACGTATCAAGAATGAAGTGTAATGCGGTTGTTCATACTCTATTTAAGCATGCTGTTTCGGCACACTTACCGTCCACCCGAAAAAAAAAAATTGGAAAAAATATCAAAGCGCGATGATTTACTACGAAATTGGTATTGATGAATACATGTCAACGAGAGCCAACAAAAATTGACTCTTTGTGAAACTCGCTTTTCTTTTTTGATCTTATTCCCGGGCAGTGCCAGTTACGTTGATATACGAATTCAAATTCGAATACGAAGTCTGGCAAGAAGATGAAGCGTGATCATAAGTTTCCTGAAAAAAAAATTGACTTGCTAGGTTTTTTCTTCTCTATCTTCCTTTTCTTCTTCTTCTTCTTCTTCTTCTTCTTCTTCTTCTTCTTCTTCTTCTTCTTCTTCTTCTTCTTCCTTTCTCTTTACTGTAATCGTATAAATGATTGAAATTATCATTCCCAACTCAACGCTCCGTAGTACTGAGCATGTTTTGCCTTCATTTTGATGGATAGGCAAAACGAGTCTTTTGCAGCCCTATGCACGTCTAAATACATAGTCGCACCTCCGTACATCGGCCGAAGCACGTCATTTTCTAACAGTAGCTCAAATTTCGGAAACTGATTGATTCCGATACCTCGGTGCTTGCAGCAGGTAATTATTGCAACATTGAAGAGAAGTGTTGCGTTGTTCGCAGACTATACGATACAGTGAAAGCAGCCCCTGAGTTTTCTCTTTTCCCCCAATTTTTCTTCATCGTAACCATCAGAAAGGATTAACCTTACTAATATCTTAACGTTGCCATTAAACTGAAAGTTAAACCAGCAGTAAATAAACATTAGACTTTTCTTGGTGATACTAATTTTACTAAAGTAAGTTGAGGCTGTAACATATTTGCCTGCCGTATTTCGCAGCACGAATGGATGTTGAAATCTTGTATTTTCCGAGCGATATCAAAAACAATACTCGACGTGAATCTTGGCTAGTCCGCACTGATTGTGTAGTAGTCTCTCGTGAAAAAATGTTGTGCTTACAGGTTTATTACTAATAGAAAAATATGTCTAGTCTACATTATGAGGAAATAAATAAGATAAGTTTCCTTGGCTACAGAAAAAATTCCGCTGTAATTTTTTCCATCTTTATCCAATCCTTTTTTATTATTATTCGAATCAGGATACCTAACAACTTTCAATCTTTCAAATGTCTTAATCAAAGTAGCAAAATGTCTGAAAAGCTGCAATTACTCTATTATTATGTCGAATTGTTGAGTCCGTCGAAAATTGAAAGATTTATCAGACCTACTTTTATGAGTCTTAACTTTTTTTCATCCATCCCACGTTTTCGTATTTTTCGCTTAAAATGTAGAATCACCGTATTGCATTCACACGAATATTTTATTTCATAAAGCACCCCTTTTCTCAAATGCAAAATTTATTTAAGCACTTTTTTTTTAAATTTCATTTTTGAAGTATCTTATTTCCCTTCGCCTCTCCTGTTTGTCAATAAATGATTTCCACCACCTTTTTTCCGTTTCATTTTTTTAATATTTATCGGTAAAAATTGCGCAGTTTCATTCCATGGGCAGTCCTCAGAGGAATGTAATTCATCATAGTCTCACAATACAATTTTTAGCACACGAGGCTTTCAAAATGCTGTCCATTTTCAATTTCTATAAAATACAAACTTGTAAGATTGTATGGGGCAAGGGTACGAAAGATGTTCTATTTCTCGAGCTATAGTTTTGAAAAGACGGTGGCAAATAGAATTCACAGTATCCTCAGCAGCTTTATAGCGTTGTTGCTTGCCATTGTCGAGTCATGTTAAATAACAACAAGAATTTTACCTAGTTTTTTAACACGTTCATATTTTAAATGTTAGTCTCTTACATTTATGGAATATACACCCCACATAATGTCCACAGCTCTCCTCCCTCTTCTGATATGGAACACTAGATATCCGGGTGAAAAGTAATATTTAGCCGTCTATATCCACCAATGTACGAGTTCGAATTTAAAATGCTATATATACCTTAAAAGACCCTGCAGGTCCCTTCCTCTCTCCTTCCCTTGAACGCATATAATTTAACAAGGTGTCGGCCATCAGTAAAAACCGGAAAAATTTGGAAAAATCAGGAAAATGTCAGAAAAATCGTTCATTTATCAGGAAATTCTGAGTGCATGGAGCATTTTCAAACATTTGAGCCATTTCATTAAATATGTTGCTTTTTTAAATCAAACAAGGGTTAACTTATTCGCGGCCAAAGGCAAGCATTTTTTTGGATGTAGCAGAGAAAATCAGGGAGATATCAGGAAAACCCACAACGAAATCTCATTCGACACCCTGTAATGATGAATGAAAATTAGATATCGACTGTAGGAATAAATCTACTCTCTCAATCGAAGACAGTAAGACAGGGCCTCCCCTTTGGTCGCGCGTCGGGGTTGATGAGACTACTCCCTAGCGATAAATTGGCGGCTATTGTTTTTGATATCCGATCTCTGAGCAAGATTTTAACGTTTGTTTTGCAGGCAATGGTTACTCGTCTCAGCTGAGCGGTGAATCGACGTCGCCGGAGGGCCACAGGACGCCGCTGCCGGACGACACGGGGAACAGCAGCGCCGAGGACACGGGCGGCGGCGGCGGGGGCAGCGGGAGGGGCGGGGGCACGACCCCCTTCTCGCACCCGCCGGCAGCGCCGCGGCCCCAGGGCGGCGCGTACCCCTCGCCGGGGGCCCCCGCGGGAGTGAGGGAGGCCGGCGACTACCACTCCCTGGAGTACGCTCACCACCACCACCACCACCACCAGCAGGACTCCCCCGCCTACGCCACCGAGTCGTCCCCCGAGTTCTACCCTCCCACCAGCACCATGTGCGCCACAGCCAAATACCACCACCAGTCATCCCCCTATACTAAAAGTAGTTTTTCTAGATCTGGTAAGCATCACCACCTATCTCAAAATCCCACCTTACAGGGTTGCCACAGTCAGGAAATACCGGGAAAACCGGGAAATGTCAGGGAATTTCAATAAGTCAGGGAAAACCTGGAAAGTCAGGGAAAATGACGAAAGTGTCAGGAAAATTGCCAATTTACCTTTAGCTTGTTAGAATGGATTTGACGTTTAGGACAACATATTTTGCCGAGAAACTATTTCAAATTATGTCTTTTTTACCATATTGCATATTTCACTTGTCAGGTAATTAGACTCAAATGTGTCAAGGAATTCAGGGGATTCCATTTTTCTAAATTTTATGGCAACCCCGACCTTATGACATTGGTCTTCGTTGTTTGTTGGCTCCCCTCAACCATCTCAGTGACACTGAAAAAAACTCCGGCCGTGGAAGCCGTACTTACGGGCTATATGGACATGCTGTGTGTTCTGGGCTCAGAGGACGAAAGTTTTGGGTGCTGGAGCCGTAGCTTCGACTGCTTCGGGTTCAGAGGCCGGATAAACGGGTGCTGCAGCCAGAACTTTCGGCCTCCGAGCCCGGAATGGACGGTACGACTATGAAGCCGGTAAGTACGGCTTTCAAGGCCGGAGTTACTTTTTCCTTGAAACGATCTGGTCAAAGTTTCAAACCGCAATTTGCATTGCTAATGATGCTATACAAGCGTTTGAACAAAATCGTTCCTTATACCAGAACCAGACAGGCAAAGCGTTGGCAAACTTTTTCGGCAGTTCACTCAAAGTCCCTATTTTCCAGCCTCAAAATTTTAAGTGCTGCCAAAGGGGCAACTCTTAGACTTTTCGACTTTTCTTTCGGCATTAATGATGCCGGATTAATTCCTTTAAGCTGCGGTTTGGATATCTCATCCCCTTCCCACCACCACTTTAAGATACTGATTTCTCTGCTGCATCACATTTTCTTGCTTGAACCATTCAGGCAGAGGGTTTAAGATCAGTATTTCGATGGCCAAAGTGTGACACTTCGTATCTCGTATTCATTTACTCTTGCTTCACACACAGGAAATCTTTACCTAATTATTCGTTGTGGTGATTCAAAATGTTTCACTTTTCTGTTGACAGGTCGATACTCACAACCTGAGCGGTACACTGAAGGTTATAGTTCACCATTTGAAAGCAATGAGTTCCAGCAGGTGCCTGGGAGCACTTCGACGGACGCCCCTCACTGGACTACAACTGGTGCTAGCGATGCTTTACCTTTATCTCACAATAGCAGTGGATTCATTCATCCAGCCTCTAGGGAACCTCATTATGATATCAAGCCTTCACTCCCGCCACCATCCATGCTAAGCTCTTATGCTGGTAAGAATTTCATAAATCTATCATGTCAGAGACCTTTTTCAGGGTGTCTAGCATCAGGAAAAACCAGAAAATATCAGGAATTTTGGCCGATCAGGAAAAAATCAGGAAAATATCAGGAAAATCTGAAAAATCGGACGTTTTATCAGGAATTTTTCTTACGCGAATCTCCTCAGCGGAGAAAGTCTTACTGCTTTTTGCCTACCGTGCCAGGAGTCGAAAAAAAAATCAGGAAAATATCAGGATTTTTCAAAATCAAAAAATACTAGACAACCTGTTTTTGATCCTTGGTTCCAAAGCTAGAGAATTTAATAAGTCATCAAAGAATAGGTAGAGCTCTATAATTTTAAACTTAAGTGGGAGCATTCTTGTGTACAAATCCTGAGTGAGTAATCATTTTCCTCTTGAAAAATCTCTTCAGAGAGCTCTTGAACTTCGTAAAAACCAGGAGGTGTAAATGAGGGGCTTGGAGGACAAGGCGCATAAGTGCAGTATTTGAAAAAGTTGAGATATTAATAATTTCAAGTGAAACTAGTCTTCACGCATGTTCTATGAAAACCCCGCTCCCAAATTCCAACTTTTAAGCATATGAAAGTCACTTTGAACTTTCTTTCCGCCATAAAGATCCATGTCATTTCGAAACTTTAAACAGGTTTTTCTCGAAATAGCAAAAACTGCACTTATGCGCCTTGTCCTCCAAGCCCCTGGAGCTTAGGCTCCATCTTGCCAAGTTTCATTGAGCTTAGTGCTTGTATATGACTTTCGTCTGAACCTCTCGTTTTTGCCAACAGATGCTGTGCTATACATTGCAATCTTTAAAGTAATTTCTTTCTAGATATTCCCAAAATTATGTTTCTAAATAAAAAATTATAATTAATAAAATGAATGAGAATTAATTATTATTAATGAAATTTGCCACAAGACATCAAACTCTCTTCAATATCTGTTTTCAATTTGTATCTTTGTTTTTACAGGCCGATACTCACAGCCGGAGCGATACACTGATGGTTATAGTTCACCTTTTGAAAGTAATCAGTTCCAGCAAGTTCCTGGCAGTACTTCGGGTGATGTCCCACACTGGGCAACTGGTGCTAGTGATGGCCTACCTTTATCTCACAATAGTAATGGTTTTCTCCATCCAAATTCTAGGGATCCTCACTATGATAATAAGCCTCTACTTCAGCCTTCTATGTTAAGCGCTTATACAGGTAACTACAAAAATCTTTCTGTACCTTAATGTAGAAATCCGAGGGAAAACTGTAACTCTTAAATTCTCCAATAAGTACCAAGCATGCAGTGAGTTAATAACAAAAAAGGAACAAAGATAATAAAAGAAAAACCACCTCTCATCATGCTTAGCGCTTCTGATCCAGGTATTCAAAATGTACAATTGAATATGAAAGGTGTGACATTTTTGGCCTGATTGCATCTGCTTTGAAATTTGGTACCTTAGCTCAACCTTTTTTCATTCAGATTCTTAATGTATTTAAACAGTGAAAAGTTTTAAATTTTTAATTTTCCCAAGATATATATAAGAGCAATGTAGAATACCCAAATCCAGTAGAATAAAATTAACTCATATAATTGAAAACATCAATAACGATGATTTTTAAGCAGCCCTAAAAAATTATTGCCTCTTAACAAAGTACAATACTTCCAAGGGAATTTAAGTTTTAGGCTATTCATGCCAGAGCATCATTTAGTTTTTTCAAGCAACACCTGGCAAAAGATTTCTCTCGATCTGGGATGAAGATTGAAGACGTTGATCGATTAGTCTCTGCTGATTACGAAAACTGTACTTTTTTTCTTTCCTTTGCACTTGTACTAATCCCAAATAGGTGGTGGACCTTGTTTTACAGGGAGCGGGCCGATACAGCTGTGGCAATTTTTGCTAGAGCTGCTAACAGATAAATCTTGTCAAGCGTTCATAAGTTGGACAGGCGAAGGCTGGGAATTCAAGTTAACAGATCCTGATGAAGTTGCAAGGCGCTGGGGTGTCAGGAAAAACAAACCGAAAATGAATTATGAAAAATTAAGTCGTGGTCTACGGTATTATTATGATAAGAATATCATTCATAAAACTGCAGGCAAGCGATACGTCTACAAATTTGTCTGCGATCTGCAAAATCTTCTAGGGTAAGTTCTTTTTATTAACCATTAATTTATGAATACTGTTTGAAGCGACACGTGGATTATATGAGAAAAATCTACATGCACTTTTTAGCTTATAACCGCTCCTATGAAAGTTGCCTCTGACGAAAATCACGGTCATGAGCTAATGGAGAGTTTTATTTTTTCATCAAAATTTCACGTAAAATACGATTTGTGTAACTTTGATTCAGCTCTTGCACATTGTTTACACATTGAACAATAGATACCAGGAAAGGAACTCTGCTGGATTAAGGAGCGTACCAAAATGGTTGCATTGTGTTTTTTGATTCACATAGACTCTGGTTTTTCTTGACAGCGGAAATTTAAAATTTTTCATAACCAGTGCTAAAAGAAAATGCTAACATCTTAGGTTGACGTTAATTTCAGTAATTTTCGTAGACAAATCATGTTCTAAGGGAAATTTTGATGAAAAAACATACATATCAATGCCCTTATTTTGCACCTCGCCTGGCGATCCATTAGAAAATGGGAGACAATATTTCAAATACGGAATTTATGTATGGTAAGCTCAAGAGAAGCAAAATACCAATCAAATTTCTTTCGTAAAAAGAACAAAAAAAAAAACAAAACAATCCTATCATTACTAAAAGCTCTCTGGCCTCTAAATTTTCTTTTTTTGCCACAGTTCGTTCTGCCCTTCTTCTAGGCCAATTTCCATGATATCTGGGGCTATCAACAGTTAAAAGTCTCTAAATAAGCCCGCTCTGTTGTGATGTCAAAAATATCGGAGTCTGATGTTGGATATGTCCCACACAGCAGCCAAGGGGCCTAGTCCCTCATAAAATATATAACCTGAATTATTTCAAGCTAGTTTTGCTAGTGTAACAAGGGGTGAACAAACCAGAAAGTTTTCTATCCAATTATTCATTGGATTGCACTGCTAGTTTTTAAGTACCTAACAGGTTTTTGACTTTTTAAATTACGTAAATATCGTATCATCCTGTGCAGAACAGAAGGCACTTGAGTTACTTTACTGTTTGTAAATAGGGCCTGACACAAGGTTTTAGAACATTCTCTCTCCTGAAATTGTAATATTGTGCTGAATGGTAGAATTGTGGGTCTAATGGCTATTCTTATTTTTCTCAACTTTCCTAACATAAGATGAAAGAGGCTTTTTTATGAGTTTTACTGCTCGCTTTTTGAAAGTTCTTATAATTAGTATAGCTGTTTACACTTCATCCTGAACTTGTATTTACTTATTTTTTCAAGAAAATATTTTGCAATTTTAGTATGAATTTACTGTTGGATGAAATTAATACGTAGTTCTTATCTTTTTTAGATGCAGTCCTGAGGAGTTACATGCAATGGTTGATCTCAAACTTGAAAAGAGAGACGACGACTGAATCAGTAAAGAATCACTAAATTAGGAATCTTTTTTTAATTTTTCAAAGAAAAAACTTTTAAAAAAAGATGAAATTGTGCAGGAAATATTGTATATAAGAGACATTAACCTGCACAGAATGCTTTATGTGGATCCATGCGTGTTTAGTTACTTTGTCTTTTTTCTCAAATTAGAACAAAGGACCTCTGCATAGATACATTGGAACAAATTATGTGATGTAATTGTAACGGATGAGTTTATATATTGATAATTTTATGTTTTTATCTATTTATGTACTTGAGTTGCATGCTTTTCTCAGCAACTACCCACGAAGAACTTTTAACTAAAGTTCGTAATCAAAACTTCCTGTAAATATAGTTGTGAAACAGATCTTTCTGTTTTCTCTTTACTTTTTTCATAGATTTTTTAACTGTCATGCCAATGAGCTTATATGATCCTTTTTGTGAAAATTAAATGTAAAAATAATTTTAATCTGACCCAGACGTTTTTCTGTGCCTGTGGTCATGTATTTATGTCAACTTACCTTCTATATTTTTTCTTTTTTACTTTCATTGATAAAACGAACCTATTATCGATACAAAAAGTCTATAATCCAAGTTCTTTTCCTCTGTAATTCAGAAAGATTCAAATTCTACATTTTTAAACTGTGAAAAGGACTGAGAACTCTCACATCTAAGTTTTGAATGTGTCCTCTTTACCATTTAGCTAGAATGTTTTGATCCATGTAACAATAAATTTAGTGTTGCATTTCCCCTTATTGGCTCTCAAATTAAATGCCTCACGTTTGTAATGATGAGTCAAGGAAGAAACAGACAAACCGTACTAGAAGTAAGCAACATTTGAGTTTTCATGCTGCAGCATTTTTCTTGAAGTGTATACACATTGTATAATATTCTGTGCAATAATAACAAAATCTAGACATTTGCAAAGACCTGCATTATAAAAAAGCCCATACATACTATTTTGATCAATAAAAACCCCTCAATTTTTATCCCATTATCTAATTATTGTGGAAGTGAGTACCTACCTATACTTGTGATTTTAATGAAAAAATAATTGACTTTTCTTGACCGCTCATTAGTAAATTCTGTGGAAGGCTGAGATGAGTCATTTTGTGAAGAAAGTGATCCAAGTTATCTGCAGATCTTACAGGACTCAAGACTTAGAAATGAAAAGTGTATAAGCTTTGAAATGTTGGCAGTTGTAGAAATTTTCTGATCAGATTTAATAACAATCTCTTGCTTCACTTAGGTTTTTTTTATTTAACTGTCAATGGCGCATAGTAAATAAGATAGAATCCAGAACCAATGTGCAGATCTAATCTAATGCTAAAAAACAATGCCTCATTGAATGTTTTATATTTCAATAGCTAGAACCATGTAGTTGAATTTTCTGGTAAATCTGCTTTAGAGTTAAAAGTCAAACTTAATCATTCAAAATACTAACTCTTGCTGTAACGCAAATTACGTAAATCGTTCAAATCTCTACCAGCAAAAGTAATTTACCAACAGCCATGGTGAGTCATCATTTCCTCTACTGGGTCTCCTTTTTTTTCTTGGCCATGGTCTCCTTCACAGGCTAAAAGCACACCCTAAAAGCAGTTCAAAGCGTAGTAAACTTATTTTTTCAGTTGGACAAAAACTCCAAAGTGTTGCTTCGGAAGATATCACTACAAACGGATCAAACCCACAAATATTTGCCAGACCTTTCAATTTCAACCCAAGAAATGATGATTCCACTTTTCTGCACAATTATAAAGTGATGTCATGTTCCATTATAGAATTTGCTATGAAGTGTGACATTTCATGATAGAGCAAGGTGATTTTTTTCCTATCAGTGTTCCTTGTTGCCAAATCGACATTCTAAGTCTTCCCAATATTAACTTTCTGCAATTGTAAACTCTCATGTAGATCATACCAGTGCCCTTTTTTTCAATTTATTGCTTCATAATGAGAAAGTTGCTATTCAGAAATGTAATGAAGAGCATCCTATCATTATTGAAGTAATCTCTCTCCTCCGCCTGGTTATTTTTTTAAGCGCACTGCAGTGTTACATTTTAGATTAAGGCCTAGAAATGTACCATTAAGCTGCTCCCCCCCCCCCTCTTCTTTTTCAAGAACAATGAAGAAATCTGCACAAAACTGAAGTATTTACAATGGATATCAATTTGTTTTAAAATTCCATTTAATTTGTCTCACATTTGATCTATGAGTTAAGATTTCATAATTTATTTTTCTCTCTAAACATTTTCTTTTGAAAATGGATTATTTTATGATCATAATTTCATTAATTTAAAAGGAAAACAAGGCGGAAAACCTATGCAACACTTCCCACGGTTTTAAAATGGTACACTCTCAATTCAAGTACCTACTCAATCCACTCAATATTAGATTTTTTTGAAGAACAAATTTACTTTCTGGCCTCATATTTTAAGATAAGCCCAGATAGCTGGAATAGTCATAATAAGAAAACTGTAAGCTTTTACAAGAATTGCCCTTCATTCTATCATTTGTTAATGTAGAAGGTGCAGGCATCAAATAGAATCATATCTTGGAATCATTGAAATTCTCCTGAGAGATCAAAATTATGATTGTCTAACAAATGAATAAACTATTGATCCCATATCCTCCCATGAGGAACTTCTTCCTGTATAGACAAAACAAAGATTTCTTCAAGCTCATTTTGTCAGGCTTTTCTCTATTCTTGAGCGATTATTATCTGTGAACCCTAATTTTTTATATGAAACCAGTTTTTGAATCTTCTAATTTCAAAAGACTTAACAGTTAAATATGTTTACGCCGCCTCATTATGTTTTCAAAATTAAAGTTCAATAAAGACTTAGTTTCATTATTAAAATGAAGAAGGGAAAACGTCATACTTTTAATTATTTGACTTTTTTCCCAAACTTTTGCGATTCATCAAGACATACATTTTTCCCATTCACTGTTGAGCAAAGGATGCCAGTTAAGACAAAATTAATCTTTTATGTTTCTCACAAGACTTCTCAAAAGTATATCTTCGAGCCTGTCTTATTTTCATCCCTATTAATGTCGATTCAAGTCTAGTATGAAAAGTGCTCTGGTTAAAATAAAACCGTGCAAGCTACAAAAACAAAAGGAGTTTCTCATCTGTTGTTAAGAAATAAGTAACCATGAAATAAGATTATTGTAGGTGTGCTAATTTCTTTTCCTCTCAGGGAAAGTTCCTCTTAATAATGAAATCATTGTACTACCTAAGTTTTATTGTATTTTTGTCATCTTATATTGTGGCACATTAATTATTTCATAAAATTCTCTGTGGTCTCGCATCTAAAACCATCTCCATCTTTCGATCCTACACTGTTTCAGTCTCTGTGAGTCAACATATTTTTCACATCTTAAATTTTCGTTCTTTGATCTCTAATTCATTAGACTCTTTTCTTTCAACAAAAATCTTTTTTATCCCCATTTTATCATCATTAGCTATCAACTGTAGCCAATTTAACTGTCCACTCTGGCATGAGGCACATATGACATGTCTGAATCAGGTGGGTATCAGTGAAACTCAGTCGACTGTCATGCACAGTTTTTATTATCATTCGCACACCATTTTCAAAAGAAAGTGTTGATTAATGAAATGTGATTAAATCTCAAAATTCATAGATTTTTATAACTTTAACCGTAGGTTATTCTTGTATGTAAATAGATACCTTGCGTAATTTATTTGTTTTGATTACTGTAGAATTCCAACTGAATGAATTCCCTATCAGCCCTACTGAAATACTCAACAGTCATGGTGTATATCTGTTGAAAAGCTCTTTCTCCTTGAAGATTTTCATAAATTATTTTTCTTCAGCTTAATTTTATATTTACATTAATTCACCATGATTCATTCAACCGTTATGTGCTCCTAATTTGATCTTCAAGTACTTAAGCTTTGATTTTTAAACAAATTTCTCTGTTTCAGGAGAAAGTGAATTCAGAGTGAGAAAGCTTATTTTAGCACATCTTCTTTGTTCACTTTATTCGTCTGTTCTTCTTATTTTAAGCCAAAAGTTAGAAAGGCAAAAACAAGGCTAATCAAATTCTGAATTCCTTTCCGCCATAGTACCTAATTGTCATTAATTACATCTCATGGGCATTAAAAAGGACCTATAAATTTTCCCTCTATCCTGAGATTGAACCTTTGAAGTTAACAGACCTAAGATAGCATATAGTGTTTTTCCTATCATCATACAATGTTATGTTGATCTCTCGGATAGGGAATCGTCTTTCAAGGTAACTTTTTTCTTCAAAGGCAAGATCATCTTTGATAGAAATTATTAATGCTCCTCATGTTTTCTTTTTGGATTATTTCAAAACGAAGATGCCAAGTCCAGTAGTTCAAACGTTACTCTCAAATTGAACAGTTTTTTCACACACTTCGAAATTATTTCCCATTTTCCTTCATTGAATTGTATTTGTTGAAGAGAACTGCTTTGAATTTTTAAGATTCTAGAAATAAAGATACTAAAAAGTTTAATCGTAAATCTAAGTACACTGATCTGATTATATGGTCTTCAAATGTACCCATGAAACAGGATGTAAAAAAAATTATGTCATATTCATCGTAACCACATTCAATTTATTTCATATTGTTCAATGAATAAAATATGTGACCTCTAAGACTAAACTTGCTTTTTTATATCATATATTATATTTTTTTAACTTGAAATGTTTGGAATTCTACTGTCTTTCAAAATTTAGAAACAGCTATTGTTCATGTTTTAAGAATTCGATATTATACTCAAAATTGACATTGTTACCCACGAAACGAAAACCTCTAAGTTTAAATCTGGTGAAGTAAAATATCCAAAGCAATAGTGTGAAGCATCAAGTGTCAAGTTTCACTATTCAAATATGTAATTAACTGTTATGAATTATCAGTTGTCTGATTAGCTATTTTGTTATATAATTTTTATAAATATAGTTTTAGACAATCTTTAATTGTTATCGATTCTTTTTTCATTTATGATGTAAGTTTCTCCCTCTTTTTTATTATTTTATCTAATTTGTCTCTTCCCCCTCAGTAAATTTTTGTTAACTGCTTTCAGTTTATATTTATAATTAAAGAAAAAGTTTAAAAATCATCATTAAAAAAGTCCAAAATCAAAATAGATGTCTCTTCTTTTCTCTCTCCTTCAAGGCCCTGATTGGTCAGAATGATCACCTTTTCCAATTTGTAGATATTCTTACTCTGTACTCTCGAGGGAATCAAAAATTTATTTAGGGTTTTAATTCAGAGGTATATCAAGGTCCAAGACCAGCCTGAAAGTCAATTCATTATTAACAAAGCAGCAATTCGTACCAGTAAATACTTCTTCTACAAATTTAAAGAAAAATAATTGAATCAGTGAGAACGAAAACACACCAACTCGGAAAAATGGAAAGAATCAAGACACACACAAAACCGAACAGTATATGAAGAAATTAGTCTAAGAAAGGGATTTTTGGTGCCTAAATACAAGCTCTTAAGGGCATTTTAAAGGTCCAAGTTGGAACATATGCGCTAACTTCAATGACTTTTATAAAAATTTACCGTCTCTTATGAAAATTTAGCAATTTCGAGTTACCGAGTTGGTGTGTTTTTGAACTCATTGATTCAATTGTAAAACATTTCTTAAAGAAAACAAATAAATAAAAATTACAATTATTGAAATAATTATTGAAGCACAGTGCACTTTTGCCACCTTTAAAATGAAAGGGGTTAAAGATTCTTTCAAATCGAAGTTGTTGAGATTTTAGATTGTGAGAAAGTGGTTTTTACAAAAAATGGAATTAAAAGACATTACTAATTGAATCAGTGAGAACGAAAGCTCACCAACTCGGTAACTCTAAAATGCTCACTTTTTATTAAAGACAGTCAATTTTTGCAAAGGGCGTTGAAGTTACCATTTAATGTGTCCTTAGTACTTGCCTTTAGGCACCAAAAATCTTCTTCTCAGACTAACTTCTTCACCTACCGTGCAGTTTTGTGTATATCTTGATTATTTTTATTTTTGGAAGTTGGTGTGTTTTCGTCCTCACTGATTCAGGTGAGCTCTTTGATTGTAAGATGAGTTAGACTGGGCAATCGCTCCATAGTTCAAAATCATAAGCCTATTTTTATCAATGCGCTGGCTGTGCCCTTGCTGTCAGGTACGTTGAATCAAATGAGAGGCTCTGATTCTCTTTTGAATCATACAGTGTCTGGTTCTGCCAGCTCAAAATACCTGATGTTGAATTACAGAACGATACGATTGCTATCAAAAGTTATTAGCAAAAGTAATAAGCAAAAGTTATTAGCTATTCTGGGATATTTCTTAGATAATTATGAAGAAGCAAAAGTTTTACAACACTGTAATCGCGCTGGTTCCTTTTTGCTAAATGCAATCCAACTAATCCTCTGTCACACTCTAAAAGTGCGCAGTTATGGGGTGTGGATTCAAAGCCATAAATATTCTTGCAAGTCTCATGAATATCAATGTTGATATGTACTTACGTCATGAAACCAAAAAAATTCTCATCCGAGAAATTTTGGGATGATATAAGCCCATGATATTTACTTCTTTTCGAGTATCGATTAGCCCTGTTCCCAATTAGTTTCCCTTTACACTATTTTTCTTGTTACCTGCCGTAACGGAGTTTTGACACATCTTGGAAGTCATCAATAATTTATTTAAGTACCTACCTTAATTGATCAGTGGCAATAAAATATTATACTGCTCCATTGAAAAGTAGGTGTAAATATGAGCTGTGTTTAGAACATTATTTAAAACAATAGGTACCAAGGATATTTTCATTTTCAACTCACATGGTAGTCTTACTGTTAAAAAAAAAAGTGTCAACACTCCAACCGCTCCACTGATCCACTGCAACGAGAAAATATTCTATAGCCCCTGACTGATTGTGGAGGGGATCATCATTTTGCATTAAAAATATAATATAAAAAATTACAAAAATAGTTGCAATATAGCTTTGACGTATATTGATACTGAGATTATTAATATTAATTACTACTATTTTCTGATACCTACTCGATATAAGTGATAAATTTCAACGCTAACTTTCACGATCAAAATATTTTTCCTCGACTTTTGATAGGCGAATCAAATCAAATCGAATCAATTAAATCGAGGCTACACTTCTGAAGGCGCTCTGAGCAACTATTCCGCCAAAACAGTTTTGCAAAGTATCGAACGGAATTGAAGGCGCACTTACGTGTGTGAACTGAAACTGACTATTATTCGTTTGCCACTGTCGATACCTACTATAATCTGCGGCTCTCCTTCGATCGACTTCTGTGAAACTCGAGATAAGGGGGTATTTTTTGACGGTAAACTTGAATTTTTAGTCAAATTTCCAAAAATCGAAAACCCTAGCTGGCAGACGTAGCATTAATTACTATCTCGGCTCCTGTTCGACGAATTTTTGTGAAACTCGGGATCGGGGTTATTCTTTGACTTGAAGGTTGAATTTTTAATCAAATTTTCAAAAATCTAAAATCCGAGATGATGGATGCTGGAAGTGGCTTTGAATGCTATCTGGGCCCTTCTCCCAAGGATTTTTTTGAAACTTAGTTAGTGCCAAGGGAGGGAGATTTTTAAACACCGCAAAGGAGATACGTAGGTTGGGAGTTTCATGGGTTGATACATACAACAATTTTTCTGCACCTTTATCTCTGAGGGTTTTATATTATTTCTTACCTTGTCTCATCTCCAAGTTTCTCAAATTTTACCAACCAAGCAGCGCAGATTTTAGGATTGGTATCAATTGAAAATACATGGTAAAATTATTGCTACTGCGTTGGAGTGTTGCGCAAGTAGTCTATTCATTGATTGAAGGGGCTCATCTTAGTGTTACATCCTAGTGAATAGATTTGAAATAAGTTCAATTTTTTTTTTTTTTTTTTTTTTTTTTTTTTTTTTTTTTTTTTTTTTTTTGCATTTCAAATTGCCCACCTTTCTCACACATGGAATTCATTTCGTTGATTGTTTAAAATTTTAAAATCAGCATTCATAGTCTGAGTGATGTAAAAATATCGCAGTTTCCTGGAGAAAATTCGTAATTTTGTTCAATTAAATTGCAAAACGATTTCAATATTTCCGTCCCCTTGTGCTGTTTGGGCATTCGGTTCTAATTTGCTCCCCTACGACTGTGGAGTTATTGCCAACAGAGTCTCGCATTGCTGTCGAGGTAATGAGCTTCATCTCCTTTTTCCAATACACTTTCCCCCTATCTCTTGTTCGTTCCGAAGATCAGCTATAATGGCCTGATACTAAATTAGAGTAGAGGCCAAGACGCTTGTTTCTGTTTTGACAACTCTAGTATCCTAAGCCCGCTTACAGACTACGAATCGAAAACCTAAGCCGATGACTAAACGTTTCGGAATTTCGACAACGCTGAGGCTTATTTTTAAAATCGGTGTCCTTTGCGTTGCTTTCCACGGGCATTTGCTTCCCACTTCCGCGCCGCGCAATTCTTGAAAGTTGACGACACTGCTTTTCCCACATTTAAATAAATGCAAATCAATCGATTCTTGGTGATGCAGCTTGCCTCATCTAACGTCGATATTTTTAATGGATTTAAATTGAGGAAAAACAGTGTTGCCAACTTGCAAGAATCGCCAGAAACAGTTGCCAGTAATTCAGCTTGTACCCACGTCTGGGTGAGTGCTGAGTTACTTTACGTCAACTATTCCATACTTATGTCCGAGATTTTCAACTCGGAAAAAATTAGCCCTGATCGCTGAGTGCTTTCTGAGCGTTTTAATCATAGCTCGTGCGCTGAGTTGAATTTTCTCAACAATGTACACTGAAAAAAAATTATCGGAGTTTTTATCAAGGTCCATTGGTACCTTTACCATCTCACTTTTTTTTACGAATTATTGGTAATTTTACCAAGACAGACTGGTAAGCTTATTTAAAAACCGGTATTTTTACTGTTTTTTTTTTTTCAGGTAAGAATGCCACTTTTATTGGTAATCAATTCCCGGTAACTTTGCCATTTTATCTCGGTAATTCTACCACAGTCGATAAAAAATATTGGCGTTTTTACCAAGGTCCAGTAAAATTACCGAGAAAGGTCAATAATTTTACCGAGATTTCTCGGTAAAATTACCAATTCCATAAATGATAATTTTACCAAGAAAAAACTGGGATCAAATAGAACCCTGAATTCTTGGTAATTTTACCCTTTTCTTAGTAAATACACCGAGATTTTTTTTCAGTGTACATGGGTCGTCAAAAATCATCAAGCCTTTCAAAACCCCACTATCACTTTCCGCACCCAAATTAAATTTTCGTTTTGAACAACCTATTATATATCAAAATATACCTATCTTCATCATTGCATGAAGTTGGAAACAAGGAGAGCGACCGGGGATGTTACAAGTAAAATATTGAAAATTGAATGATTTTTCTCAAGGCAAATCCTCTACTTGGAATTCTCTATGAAAATTCTTCCTCGAAAAAATTAAACATAATTTTGTGTAACATCATGCGACATCGACTTGCCGTAATGTCATTTTTCCTGTGATTGTGATGTTGAAAATGATAGAGTCATTATGCAACAAAGGCGGGGAATCGGGAGAGAAGGGTGCCCCATTATGTGCAGTGACTTCAGTTACATTTTTTAAATTTGAACAATTGAACTTAGTGAGAAATATCCTCGGCAGAGCGGTAGAGTCCCCGGGGGGTCTTCATCCCCCTCCTCCCCTCTGCAATACCGAATGGACGGGTAAACGTTTTGGCTAGATCTACGTGCCGTCTCACAGTGGAGCCTTTTCCCGAAAACGTGGACTTAGGGTGTAAGGTTCCCGTGCGGTATGGCGGAGAATATAGATTCGTGCGTTATTTTTAACGGGAAACTACAAATGATATTTACAAACGATTTACTTCAATGATTATCTTCAACGATTGACGAAACAATCGGTGTGAATTCATTTTCCAAACTGCTTGTTTATTGTTAACATTAATCAGGTCTGAAATTTTTTTCAAAAAAAAAAAGAAGAAGAAGAAAAAAAAAAGACAGCTAAGGATGCAGTAGTTGTTTCTAAAGTAATTTTTAGCTCTGAGTCCAAAAGTTTTTACCCTTTATTGACCAATTTTTCGGAAAATTGAGATTTTCTTGTAAAA